GTTTTCTTCTTTGTCCCTGCCATATTATCATCACCGCTCAGAGCTATATTTATAGTTTTTACAGAAGCACTTGTAATAACATGCAATACCATCTCACACCCGTTTATGCAGACAACTGAAACATAATGACTACATAATGTATGATCTTTTGCTTTTATTTTTTTATCCCAGCTGTAACATCTACAGTAACATTAATAAAACCCTACATTCCACCCGTCAGCATATCTAACTACCTTATCCATCAAGACCGGCAATGTTGTGTTGGCATATGCAAAAAGAAAAGGTAATCGTCGTTGCCATCGTGTGTGTGCGAGTATAGCAATTTGCAGAGGAGGATTATAGTTGTGGTGGTGTGTATGCATCATAAGAATATAATTATCATTGCGTTGATGTGTATACAAACAGCAAAGAAAGAGATGACCGTCATTACGATGATGATGTGCTTGAGCGTACAAGTATTAAAACAAAAGACCGGCGTTATAGTCGTCATCATGTAATATGGGCGTATATGGTAGTGAGAAGTAAATGCGCCAGGCTGTATATTTTGCAAGTCAATGGCGGATCAGCGCCATGTTGTATATGATTGTGTATGAGTAATGGAGAAGAAGATTGTTGCGTCGTTCTTGTTGTGAGTACGAATCGTTTGTGCAGGTAGAGGACGATGTTGTATTACGCACGCAAGTCTGACGTTAAAATGGTGCAAGATGGTGCATCAAGTATATACAGAGAAAATGAGAAAGAAGCAGTAATTCTGGATGATAATATCTCCACTAAAGCTATACCTCAAGCACAACCAGTAACCTTTTCCTTCCCTCGTTCACTTACCCAGCGTTTTTTAAGCAGTAACGGCGGTCTACTCCTTATCAATCTTGAGCACATGCTTTTTTCAAGAAAACAGTTACCTTCATTTCGTTTTTCAATAAATCCGTGGATTGTGCCGTTTTGTTTTCTTTGTTTTTATTCATCGTGAAGAGAGTAGGAGCCATTTACAAGTGTGCGTCGAAGCTGTTGATTTGCCGTGGCAAATGGTAATGAGAAAAAAAAAGGATCTTTAGTTGTTGTTTTTTTCCTCTATACTGCTGCTAACAAACCCCACACTTTCCACCTACCTCAGCCACCAGCCTCCAGTTTGTTTCAAACTCAATCCGGGTAAAATGAATGGAGGGGAAACGCTCAGGCCCTGTTCCCACAGCAGCAAAATAGGCTTATGCATACAGTAGTGATCTCTGATGCACCCTTGCCATTTCCTGTACATTAGCCTACAAGCTTCTTGTCACGAGTGAAACAGCCATACTACTATATTGTGACATTGGCTTTGCACTGCTTAACTTCTATTATGTCTTGACTTGAATTGAAAATCTTAAGTACTCAAATATTCTGCTCTGCTACACTTAATATATTATCTACTTCAACTTTTATTATGTCTTAGTTGACTAAAACAATGTCCAGGTTGACTGTTATTATGTTCAGGTTGTCTATTATTCATGTTTAGATTGATTATTATTCTTGTCCAGAACGATTTTCATTCATGTACAGATTGATTTTTATTTTGTCCACATTGATTTTACTCATGTCCAGATCGATTTATATTCATGTCCAGGTCAAGTAATATTCATGTCTAGATCGTTTTATATTCATGTCCAGATCGATCTTTATTCATGTCCAGGTCAATTTATATTCATGTCCAGCTCGATTTTCATTCATGGCTAGATCGATTTTCATTCATGTCTAGCTTGATTTTCATTCATGTCCAGCTTGATTTTCATTCATGTCCAGATCAATTATTATTCATGTCTAGATTAACTTTTATTCCTGTCCACTCAGATTAACATTCATGTCCACTCTGCCTAAAATTAAATCCCTTCTGCCTAAATAAAAGTTCAAATGTCTGCTAGGAGGTGAAAAATCCTGTAGGTTCATCAGCTTTTCTCCATAATCCTGAATTTAAATCTAAGATTTCTGAAAAATGTTGATCAACCCATTCTAATCTTTTGGTAATAGATAATTTATTTAATCCAAAGGCATTTGCTCCATAAACCTTTAAAGAATTTAATCCATTTTCAGATAATACATTACCTTTTTTGAATAACAATAATGATCTTGCTAATTTACCACCTTGGAAATTTAATTCACCCCCTTGGCAATAAACTCTTCCTCTCTAGTCTAAAAAGAAAGTAAAATAAAATTATTCAACATCTCTATAAAGTTTAGCAATAGTTAAAATTGAATTATTATATAAGAATTTACTATTATGAGATGTAATTTCAAATTCTTTTTCTTTATTATTCTTTTTAATAATCTCACTCATTTCATCTGTCTCCTAATGTAATGTTCTAATAATTAAATCATCATTAAGTAGCAGATTCATTAGAAAATCTAATACTTTAAGATTAATATTGAAACCAATAGATGACATATAATTAACCATTTTAATTGTCATTTTATTTATAAATTTAATATTTGATTCAGTAAATCTTTTACTTCTAATTAAAGGATTAAAATTCTTAATATTATTAGTAATATATCCACCATATGTCTTAAATTCTTTGTTATCATTTCATTCCCAATAAATAGGTGGATATACTATAGGTAATTCATGACCATTAATCATACCTAAATATTTAATATAGTTTTTTATTGGTAACTAGGAATAATTTCTCTATGAGTTTTTTTACTTTTAACATCATATCATTCTAGGATATTAAAAAGATCACTTTTCATATCCAAATAACTATTAACAGTACCACCAATATTAATAAAATTCTCTTCATTCATTGTAAAATTCTTCAAATATAAATTAAAAGTTATAATATCCTGAGATTTATCATCAACTTCTTTAATATATTTTTGATATAAATATTCTTTATATAAAGTTTTTCCTAATCTATATATGAAATAAAGTTATAACTAATTGTTCTTTATAATCTTCATATTTCATAATAAAGGGGATTAACAAACTTAAAATCAAGAACAGCATCAAGGATTTATCTATTTCTTTAAACATAAAAAGATATTTTTTGTTTCTAATATATTTTTCATTTTCAAAATACATTTTTAAGTCATCTTCTAATAACTTATAGTTATTTAAAAATTTTCTAAACCTAGGATTTATATTTCAGAAATCCTTAGACTTACTCATTTTTTCTAGTTTTTTCAACCATAAAGAATGTAATTTTTCTTCTAAATTTAATTGTTTTTCTTTAAGAGATAAAGTATCGTTTGATAAAATTTCTTTAATAGTAATATAACCACTAGAATTTTCATTTGTAAGAGAAAAATCTTTTATACCATTAAAAGTTGAATTTAAAATATTATTTTTTGAAGGGTTTTTATTTATACATACCACTGAAGGTAATAAAGCTGAAAGTAAATTATCCGGAGTATTAATCTAGATATTACTAGTAATTAAACCATCAGGTGTTTTAATCCTGATGTAACTTGAAATAAGCTCTGTAAAAGAGTTTAAATTGCAGGTATTCGAAGGGAAAATAGGGCAATCACTAAAAATATAGAATAAGTTTGTAAACATCATATTTTTAAAGTAAGTAAGTAATTAGATAGCATCTAATTTTTAGTAATGATTTATTTAGTTTTGAGATTAATTATCTATACTTACAGTACCGCCACGAGAAGGCATAAATCAAGGTACCAGGGGAGAATTCTATAAAATAATGATAATAAATATTGATATCATGGGAGATTATTTATTATTATTATAAAATAATAATAATAATCTTTTATATGAATCATCAACCCAGAATGATTCGTTTAAATAATAGCAAATAGCTAAAATTCCAATATGACATAATAACATAATTATTAATAATACAAAATTATTCCAATCTCTTAATGAAATAATAAGGCAAACTAATTTATGTAATAAAGGTCTATTCTTAATAAATTCTCATTCTTCAATTTTAATTAGTTTACTTAACATACCTATAATTAAAAAGAAACAACCAAGAATTCTATTAAATATAAATAGACAAACACATAAAATTAAAATAGGAGTAGGATTTCTATCACTACCTCTAAAATATTCATTTGATAAATTAAATATATCTTGTCGATTTTCAATGAATTTTGAAATTAATTCTATAAAATTATTACTATTTTCATTTGGAGAATTAATTTTGAAGTTTCCATCTAGTAGAGGACTACCAGATCTTTCAATAGAGTGATAATACATTCTTTCACACATTTCTCTCATTTTGTTTGTTTCTTCATAGTTATGATTCATCATTTCACCTAATCCATAAGTAGCAAAACCACCAATAGTACCAACAACACCTTAAAACAATCCATTTCTAGGATTTGTTTTTGCAATTTTAACTGCAGCAGTTATTGTTATTCTAGAAATAACTCCCGCAGCAACTCCAGGAGAAGTATTTAGTTTATCATTATTAGAATTACTATTTGATGGATGATTATTTGACCCTGCACCTCCATCTCCAAAATTAACATTAAAAGTATTTTTTGATGAAGGATTTGTATTAGATGAATTGGGGGCAGAACTTATATAAATTAATAAACCTAGTAATACTAAACCTAAAGAGCCTGTAAAAATATTAGAGAGATTATCATTTAAGAAGTGAATAAATTCTATAAAATAAAGATGAATAGAATCAACTAGAATATTAGGAATTAAAAATACAGATACAAATCTAAAATGATTTTTATCTGTAGAATAGTAATACTTGTGTTTAATAAACTTAATAATAGATATAATATTATTCTGTAATAAAGAATAATAAGTTTATAATAATCTATTACATCCATAAATAAGTATTTTAAACCAATAACTAGAAATAACCCAAACTAAGTTTAAAGTTAATTACAGGATACGAAGGGGGAATAGGGCGATCGCTAAAATTTTAAAAGAAATTTTTGTAAACATTTTTTTTAATAAATTAATAAAATTAGATAGCATCAATTAAATAACACTATTTTTAAAAAATAAAGACATTTAGTTTCTCATTAAATAATGATACTTAAAAGGAATGCTTTCTGGCTACCAATATTTCGAATTAGACAAAACGACAGCACTCTTACTCAACAAAGATTGGACGCATGAGCTATATGTCAAGTTTGCCTGTGCCCAAGGCTTGGCAGGTTCAATCCTGATGAATGTCAACAATGGTGAAGCCAATCTTGTGAATACGGTAGAGGTTTATGGTCGAACCAAATCAGTTGACATCCACCGAGAACTGTCTACTTTGGCTACCTCCTCAATCCTCACAACCACTCCAATGTACCCAAACCTCTGGCCATGCATCCAAAGCACAAGGGATGGCTCCAAGCTGGTAATTGGCACCCAATCATGCGATTGTCTCATTATGTTAATCGTTCGCCTCGATCGGAACGAAGAGCCCAAAGTGGGACCTTTGGCTTTTTACTTTGCTGCATCACCAAAACATACTAAGATATTTATCGACCAAGACAGCTGGACAAAAGCCAAGGATATAGAGTCAAATGAATCAACACAGTCAATCGAGCCCTTCAATTTGGTTGGCCAAGCAAGACAGCTTTGATCACATTTTCACCATCCAAGCACTTATTTCCTTTGTCGTGCTTCAAGTCATCTCGCTTTGCCACATTACTGCCAACTGTATACAGTGTTTACCTACTGTAATCATGAAGGTGTGAATAAATCAATAGACAACGAAAACTCGTCAGCGATTGCTTCAAGACTATTCCAGCGAATTGCATATACCGTAATCAAGTCATCTTCCGAAGCACGTATCAAAAAGGATTTGGCCGTTTCCTTGCATAGTCAATGCAACAATGATACCAGAATCAAGCTTCTTTTCGCAGACCTGATCAACCTGTGGCGTCCTACTATTAGTTGTCTAACCAATTATAATCTACTAGCTGTAATATAGATAATCAAATTGCTATGATCGGTATAACCATCAGTGGCCGAATTAATTATTGATTTACAATAAAAATAATAAAAATTGAATTTTTTTATTTATATTGGTAGCCTCCCACGAGAAAAAAAAGAGCGATTGTTTAAAGTACATAACAACAAATAAAAATGAACACAACACAACACACTGAACAACTCGATATCGAAATTAAAAATTTAATTAATAATAAATGGACTTTTCTTGATAAATCTTGGCCTGAAATGCAACATAGATTTAATCATAGAACAGCTATTAAAGATATGAAGAATAATACAATAAATGATATAAAGGATGTATTACTTAATAGATTTGGATTTATACCTGTATTTTATTTCTTACAGTTTTATATGGAAATATTGAATATCCAGGGCCATACTGCGAGATTGAAAAAGGACTTACATTATTATATCATATGGTATCAGGTGTATCAGGAAAGGATATGCATACTGTTATGCTATATGCAACATTTTATGATTTATATAAGCAGTTCTGGATTACTAACTATAATGAATTGAATAAAAAGGTAAAACAAGATCTAGATAGTATGTTCTCATCACCACGTATTCGCATTCTATCAGCAATAATAAACAATCCAGATGGTTTTAAGAATGTTACACTATTTATTGATGGACATGATAGTAAAATAAAGTATTATAAACCAAATGAGTCACATTCATAGTTATATTCATATAAATTAAAAGGGCCAGCTGTACGTACACAAGTTATACAGGATATGAATGAAATAATTACACATGTTTCAGTATCTGAAAAATGTGCTATCGGAAATGATGGTACTATGTTTATTAATATGAAACTATATAAAAAAATAAGTGAGGCAGATTGTTTAGGAATGGATGGTGGATATAACTTATTTATACAAAAGTTTAAAGATAATGCGACAGATGCTGGATATAGTTTTTATGATCGTAATTTTTTACATCCCACAAGAAAAGAACCAGGACAAAAGTTAATAATCAATGAGACATACTTTAATAACAAGTTTGGATCATTTCGTTCAGCAATAGAAGCACAGTTCTCTATGATAGGCTCTAAATTTGAACGATTTAATAATAATCATGCAGCATTGCAAATAACCGATATAAGATATTATAATATTTAGTTTTGTGTTGCTTGTATTCTTACTAATATATGGCGATTTGTAAATAAGTATAATATAGAGGTACAACTACATCATAAATTATGGTATGGAAAAGATTTTGAATTCCCAAGTAAGAAAAACAAACTTGACTTAGTATTTTCAAATGAGCAAAAAGTAAATACTGAATATAATGAAATGGTTGACATGCAGCAGAAATTTCTACAGCTTAACATTAATCAATCGATAGATATGGCTATAGATAGTGAGGACGAAACTGAAAATAATACATCTAAACGCAAGAGAAAAAATCAAAGAGAACAGAGAAATATAGAACATAGTAATTCATATGAAATTGAGAAGATTGTAGGACATGTGTATACTGATAATAAGTACATATTTGAGGTTAAGTGGGTTGGATATAGTGTAAAAGATAATAGTTGGTTAACAGTTGATAAGTTTAATTCCCGGGAAATGCTACATGAATATATGGCCACACATGGTATTTAGCTCTAAATTAATCTCTTACTTATTTGCTTATTAAAAAATTTCATATTGAAACTGACCGCATCAACCTTTCGTTTACTTGCCCAATTATATTTATGTTTTATGCATTCATTAGTTATACTTGTACTTATATTAGTATCTGTTGATTTATTTTTGACGTCGGTTTCTTTTGTTATATCTATATCATCTATTATAGCCTGTTTTATATCCTTATGCTTTTTAATAGATTCTTTTGGCTGTATTTCTTCTACTATTTGCTTGTTTCTCCGTTTATTTTTAATGTGTCTTTTTTCCTTTTTACGTTTTGGTATATTATTTGGTATGTTGCAGTCACTGCTTTTCTCTGATTCAGATGTACTTACATCTATGTATTTATGTTTCTCTATATCTTCTGGTGGGTTTTCCTAATCAGTAGTATCATTTACAACATCATCACATTTTATATCATTAAACACATCTTCCCAATGCCTACAATCTACTGATGGTGGTACCTTTACAGTTGACCATCCTCTATTATTTTGTTGAGGCGGTTTATATTGTTTATTGTTCTGTGTATTATTACTATTATGTTTTTCTTCTTGTTCCTTCATATATTCTTCTGTATCAGCTAATTCTTGTAGTTCCTCTACTGTTTTATCCATCGGTGTATATTTTTTAATATCATCCTGACCACTATTATGTGCATAACAGATAAATGTATGCTGATCTTGGTATTCGTTTTTGAATTCACCTTTGTATAAGTCCTCATACATATCCATGTTTTCATAATACATGAATTTATTTTCATAATCCTTCACCTTCATTGTGTATGAATTCCATATTATATGACCTTTACGGTTCTTATCAACATAGATAATATATAAACGATTGAGCGTTGGCTCTAACTCATATACTGATTTGTTTTTGTATAACATGTGCAGCATATAGTTACTATTCAGTATTATTGGCATATTTTTCTTTTTAGTTATTGACTTTGTGAATTTGCTATTAAGTTTTAACCGTGTTCCTTCTAACATTTGGTTTAAAAATGTTAATTTGAAACCAGAACCTGTTTCTTCATTATACATAAAATCATAATCATCATCCTTATAATCTGACCAATCATTTTCTTTATTCATTAGATATGCTCGATGACCACCTTGTTCTAATACATCAATGTTATATGTCTTACCTACATTTGATGGACCTACAATCCAGTATTGTGGTATCTTATTTTTGCCACTAAACATTGTTTCAATACCAAACATAGACCACATATGTAATTTATTTCCAAGGTTATTTTCCATATCTGCATCATGAAAGTAAGAATTTAAATTTGATTTTACAGTATCATATTTCTATAGTAATTCTGGATATATTTCGGTAGCCTTCCATATATTAAGCTGCTTAGTAATTAATTGATATCTAAGTAACTGTTGGTGCATTTTTCTGGTTTTAATTTCATAATTTGGATCTATATTATAACAAATATAATCTTTTCCTTTCATACAATAGCTAATAGACTTTTGTGGATTACCACCTGGTTTAATATTTGGAGTAACACCATCAATAGTAAAGAGTTTACGTGCTGTTTTTGTGTCGAACCGCTCATCCAATTGTATCTATATGTGTACATGTTTCTCATTGGTTTCTGGTGCAATTTCATCACATGCAATTGCCTTTTCAATTCGATAACCAATACATTCATGTTTTATAAACCATTCCATGATTTGCTCTTTTGTTAAATGGAAGTCCTTACAAATGTATATGAACAGCCCTTTAGTGTTTTGGAATCGGAATTCTTTGCCGCCCTGCGAGGAATCTGCACCAGAGGTGTTACCCTCTAACATTGCATCAGAAAATTGAGGATTTGAGGATTTGAGGAATCTCACATATTCTCGAATTCTTCCAATTATTTTATTGTATGCATTATCTTTAGTTTTTTTATCTACTTTAGCCTGTGTAAGGTCTTTTTCGAGTTCTGACCTCAGTTGTGTGACAAGAGGTTCATACTCAATATGCTGATGGTTTTCAGCAAGGTGTTTTGCTCTTTCAATTAAGAGCGTCAATGTAACTCCTAAAGTAGGAACAAACTCAGCCATAATGGCTAAGAATGCGAGAAGGTTGAGTTGGTTCATGTCGATTGTTGAAGTAATAAAAATAAAAAATATAACAAATATATTTTGCTTTATATTCTGTGGTGTTATTTTTATATTAAAAAAAAATTCAATTTTTATTTTTTTCAAAAATTTAAATGTATGCATGCCAAGACATTCGTGCATGAATTATTTCAATAAAAATTAATTTGGCTATCCTGACATATCTTAGCTAATAAGTCATCTAGGGTTACTAGATTGCATTAAAATCATCATAACCATAGCCGGTCCCCTGAATTCTTAAAATTAGCGTCCTACTATTAGTTGTCTAGCTGTTAGTTGTTTATTGATTTTGTTATAGTTAATAAGCCTGTCCTAACCGGTATAGCCATTAATGGCCAATATAATTTTAATCAGAATCATCACTATCTTCATCTTCACTTCCATTTTCATCTGTATATATCTGACTATATTCAATGATTAACTTCTGCATTTGCTCTTGATATATTTGCATAATATCATCCCTATTTGTTTCTTTTGCTTTTATTAAATCAATATAATATCTAAAGTATGAATTAAAGAACCTTTTATACTTATATTTTTCCTTTTCAAGTTTTAAAATAAGTTCATCAATAAAACTACAATTATAAGTATCATTTAATTTATCCATACAGGGCTTACATGCAATCATACACATAGGGGGTTAATCTTTAATTGTAATTTTTCAAAAGGTTTTATTGATTAAAGGTAAATCATTGTTTAAAGATATGTATGAAAAAATAAAAAATTTAGATTATAATTTTTTTATTTTTGAAACTTTTAACTTTTTTTTTAATTTTTTTTTTAATTCTTTAAAAGGTTTAAGTTTTGTATAAACTTTTTTAAACCTTTAAAGGAGTTATATCCTTTTATAATTAATTTAACACAGGCTAGGAGGTATGACG